ATATAATAACGTTAAAGGTATACATGAGCAGTCATACAAAGTGCATTGTAGCCAATAAGTCTATTGTTGTATATAATAACGTTAAAGGTATACATGAGCAGTCATACAAAGTGCATTGTAGCCAATAAGTCTATTGTTGTATATAATAACGTTAAAGGTATACATGCGCAGTCATACAAAGTGTGTTGGTAATTTAAAATACGCAGTCTACCAATAACTAAATAGCCCCCCCCCCCCTTGGGAAGACGAAACGACACATAATTCTTTTGTGCAAATACAATACAGGATATAGCCCACTAAAAATCACAGAGTTCAGACAGACATGCCACAGTTGGAAAGATTCCAGGGGAGGAAAAGGTGTCCACTAGCACCTGACCCTCCAAGGTCACTCAAATACGACCTAAAAGCCGACCGAGAAGAAGAACAGGATTACAGGAATTAACCAAACTTTCACGAGGTTACATAATTGGATGATGGGAGGGTAGTCAAAGTCAACTAGAAATCACGAGGTCACTTGCAATACTACTGTCCATAGTGAATAGGGTGACAATTCAGTTCCGGCAACACTACTGTCCATAGTGAATAGGGTGACAATTCAGTTCCGGCAACACTACTGTCCATAGTGAATAGTATGACAATTCAGTTCCGGCAATACTACTGTCCATAGTGAATAGGGTGACAATTCAGTTCCGGCAATACTACTGTCCATAGTGAATAGGGTGACAATTTAGTTCCGGCAACACTACTGTCCATAGTGAATAGGGTGACAATTCAGTTCCGGTTATGCCGGAAAGAAACATTTTCTGCACAGCCCGGATGCTGAAAACCAAAAACCAATTGCTGTGAAGAGAAGCGTGGGGAATGACCCAGGTCAACGGCCGCTATTGTTGAAAGGCAGGTGCAAATATGACCAATATCACGAGGAATTACTTTCATGGCATAGGCTATAATGACAGAATAGCTAGACGGTAGCCATTCCAGGTAATGTCGACAGCAGTGAGCATCATTGATGTTATCATATTCTCCTGTCTTACGGAACACCAATTATTTTCGTGAAAGTCCAGAATCATACAACTAATGGACAGTAGATGCACCTGAGTCTGATGACCATCGTCGCCGGAACTTTTACTCAGCTCTTTACAAGCCACACCAAAATAGTGGTGTTCCGTTATGGTTTTTTTAGTGTTAATCGCAAAGCTACACGATGGGTTATATGCCTTGTGCCAACTACCAGTATCGAAACCTGAATTCTAGGGGTATGAGCCCTCAGATATACCACTGAGTTACTGGGGGATTTCCGTTATGGTATGGGAGTCATTTGTGTTACTGGATGATGATAGCTAGTGGCAAGTAAAGGGATGGTCACGACTGCTCGAAAATTGAATTTTCGAGCAGTGCCTTCTACTCATGTCTATACTAATGACTAGCATAGCAGAGAAGGCAGTTTTCTGACGCTAGATGGGGTTCCTGCACGGGACATATAACAACGTATTGGAAATATAGCACGAGCGGCTCATCTTCGATCGTTCTATATAAAAGCGTTCCAAAAAACCAATTTCCGAGGACATCCCCATCCAAGTTCTTCACCAGGGCGTGGTTCAACCTCACATTATCAGATTTTATAAATATGATATTTCTGCCTTAAATATTGGAAAAGGCAGATCAAAACACTAACTGGAATATTGTACTCTTTGTTTCATTTTGTTAATATTTAACAACAGCATTCTTTCTGGAATGGGCGTCTACTTACTTACTGGTAGACCAAATGTTCTGTGAAACAACTTCATAATACAGATAAATCACAGAAAACAAAAGGGTATTAAACAGAACTGTTGGATTAAGTTCAGGCTCAAACAGTTCTTTACAGGTTTCAGGGGCTGTGGGCTGGTTATCATAATCCAATTACTAATAATAAAAGAATATCGTTAGGCTTCAGTACATTCGTGGACATCAAAAACTAAGAGACTTGCTAATAATAAAAAGGTTTAACTCTTTCCATTGGAAGACTTTTAACCAACTACTCTGTACGTCATTAAGTCTAGTTACAAAACCAAGGACTGGTTTAACCAAAGACGAAGAATGATTTTACCTGACTCTCCACCAACATCGCCATATCCATAAACATGTCATGAAGCTCTTTGATACTTTTCTCCAGTTTGATGATGTCAGCATGTCTAGCCTCGATGTCCTCCAGAGTCTGTTTAGCTTTCTGGGTTTCAATGACTATCTGTCAGGAGCAAAATACGATATTATACGGAGTCTGTTTAATTCGCTGGGTTTCAATGACTATCTGTGAGAAACATATTACGAGATTATATAACGTCTGTTTAGTTTTCTGGGTTTTAGTCGCTATCTGCGAGGAACAAAATACGAGATTAACCAGAGTCTGTTTACTTTTCTGGGTTTTAGTCGCTATCTGTCAAAAACAAAATACGAGATTATACAGTCTGTTTAGTTTTCTGGGTTTCAATAACAATCTGTCATGATGAAAATACGAGATTATAAAGAGCCCGTTTTGTTCCCTCATTTCAGTTATTAGTTGTCAAGGTGTCATTGTTGCTTCATCACAAAGCTACGCAATGGACTATAAGCGTTCTGTCCGACGTGAGGAATCGAATCCCGAATTTTAGCATTGTAAGTTCGTAAACTTATCGCTGGCCTAAGAGAGGGACCGCTGTCGGGTCTAAAACTACGAAACTACCCGTGAACAAGAGTTGCAGTAAAACCTTTTTTCTTAAAAAAAATTTTTTCATCATGACTTCCTTGAGAAACAAGGAAGTATCATTACATGATCTTTAAAGTTTATTAAAACAGTTGACCGAGTTGGTCCAAAATTTAAAAGACTTTAATCACGTGGAATATGTATCGCTTGTTTTTTTCTTGCAAACCTGATTAAATAAATGTTAAAACATTTCTTTAAGTTTGAAGATTTTTATAATTTAAAATCTATTCTAACTTATGACGAGAAACAGATTACTTGGAATGATAAAAAAACCAATAAGTTATAAATTCTTCAAACCAAAAATAGTAGGAGCCATTGTAAGAAATTAGAGGGTAGGTATAACAAGGTAAACTCTATTAGAAGTAATACTGAAAATGATAAAAACAACCAATAAGTTTCAAAACTGTTTTTATAAATTCTTCAAACCAAAAATAGTAGGAGCCATTGTAAGAAATTAGAGGGTAGGTATAACAAGGTAAACTATATTAGAAGTAATACTGAAAATGATAAATTTACTAATTGATGACGAGAAACAGATTACCTGGAATGATAAAAAACCAATAAGTTTCAAAACTGTTTTATAAATTCTTCAAACCAAAAATAGTAGGAGCCATTGTAAGAAATTAGAGGGTAGGTATAACAAGGTAAACTATATTAGAAGTAATACTGAAAATGATAAATTTACTGATTTTTTTTTCTATTACCCATTTAGATAAAAAAAAAATCCCCCTCTTACCCCTTGTGTGAAGATTGCCGGGTTATCACTCTCTAGCATTTCTTCTAGTTCATCATCAGTAGTGGTTCGGCCAGCTGCAAAAACAAACAAACAATAATGTTTTTAATTATCGAAAAGAAAATCTTAATACTGTATTTGTTTCCTTATAATCGTTGTAGTCATTCACGACTCGACATTTAGTGGTTGAATTTGCAAAGTACTTAGCCAAAGGTGTAATTAACCGATACCGGTGAAATAAAACTACTACAACTAAAAGCTCATTCAATTATTATCATTTTACATTAATTTATTATCATGGAACACTAAGAACAGAGTAGAAAATTACATCAGTTCCAACGTTTACTTCAGCAGGAACATTAACTTAGTGGATGAAATAAAAGTGGTGACTGCCGTTAAGGGTGCTATAATCATTTGGAGTAAGAACATCATTCTCAGTGGAGTAAATGATATAGCCCACAGAGGGCCTCTAGTACCAGAAAATATTTAAGTTGTGTAACTTTTGAATTGCTTCTCTTCTTTCTCGAAAATATATGAACGTTATCGTTTTACGTTGACCATATTGCTATCATGGGCCACTAGTAGCAGAGAGGTAATCAAAGAACAACTCCTAACTTTTGTAATTGGTTTAGGTAAGGTCCGTGAGGGTTTGTTCATACCACATTACTTTTGTAATTGGTTTAGGTAAAGTCTGTTTATTCGTACAATACGTTAATGTAATCATCAGTGAGTTTTGACGACAAAAATTTATAGAATTGTTGTAAGTTTTGGAGGTTAGAATATTTTGGAATTATCCAAGAAAAATATTAATATACCACGATTTCCTAACTTTAACTACTTTTTTTAATGCGTTTTTTTCTTCTCTAAACACAGTTCTAGTACAACAGTGAAAACCAGTTATCGTAGGATAAACGTGTACTAAGGATTTACTTATTTCTAACTGTCGTTGAATACGGTCCTTGCATCTTTCCCTGTAATTGGTTTGCGTCTTATTGTAGTGTGTCATAATCTCGACAAACTTTCTGGAAAGTGTGGTATGCTGGAAGAAGAAGAAGGAATTACTTCATCATTTATATTTTATAAAATAATCAAAGCTTTGAAAATTGTGTATGATTAATAAAAAAGAAACAGCGGTGATGTGAAGCAAACCTGGGTCCGTTTCTTTAATCTGATATAGAAATGTACTGTTTACGAGAACTGGTGATATTTTACAACAACCACATGCCAACATTTAATTAATATTAGATATCAATCACATTTATATACATAATCAAACACTCTTATTTTCTCACCCAGGAACAGAATGGTATTGTTGACCTTTCTCTAACTCCTAATTCAAAATATCAAATTATAATTCATTGTAGAAGTAATAAACATCACTGCTGATCTGGATTCTACCAATTTACACAGTACTGCTGTTGAGATATTTTTTCTGAAACTACGAAAAATTCTTCTTATTATTATTTACTTAATTAGTGGGGATCTTTCTGACAATGATCAAAGAAGAGGAAACAACCTTTTTTTTTTTTTACTGAGTGATATTCAAATATCAAGACGTAAAAATTTCAGAGAATTGTTAAATTTTATACTTAGTGAAATGTAATACTCGTATCATTACGAACATTACCATTACTAGAGGGCGTGATAAAAAAAACCTTGGATAAAAAAATATATATATTGATTAACAAACTTAAACCAGAGCTGAAGAAGATGGGTTCAACAGCTACATTCTAAGTGATTACCTTGGTAAGTTAAACTAAAGAATTACTGTTTATAAAACCTAATTTTTTCTTGTCTCAGTTTTTCAGTTACCTGAGTTTTTCGTATTCTCAGATCAGCCTGAGAGCTGGTGCTTGTCTGTTCATCTTGTTCTATGTGATGTTCCATCACTGAAAAGGAAAATATGATTATTTCATCGACATTTGAGTTTGTTTTAAATTAAGTCACAGGTCAAGAAATACAGCAGATCGCTTTAGTAAGTTATCCAATAAGTGGACTTATTGTGTTTGAACTTCGTGGGACAGTTTATTAATCAAATCAACGAGACAAATATATTGTTGGAATCCGATTAAGAGCATGTAAAAAGAATACTTACAGTTATTCAGGCCAAGTCTGACTACACACTGAGATAAAACAGTCAAAACCAGAACACCCCCTCCCTCCAAGATTACATGTCCAAATACTTTTGTTTTTGTCATAGAAGTGTATTCACATAATGAAATTTATTTCTTATTTATAACACCTGTCATCAACAGAATAACAGTTTATTTATTTGCTGTTAAGTGCAAAGGTACACAATGAGCCATCTGGGCTCTGTCCATCGCGGGGATCGAACCCTGATTTTATATGTTATAAGCCCTAGTACTAATCGCTGAGCCATCAGGGAGCAGTGGAATAACGGGAAGTTAGTTTAATACCAATATAATATTATGTAAAATATTTAAAACTTGACCCAAGAGATTAATTAATAATCTTGTTCCATATCTGTGAAGTTTGAAGGGTTATTAGCTGTGACGTAGCCATGTCCAAAAATATGATATAAATTTGATTAATACGTTTACATATTTTAACATTTATAATACAACATTATTGGAAACTAAAAACCATATTTGCTGTTGTTTGTTTTGAACAAAGCTACGTTGGGCTATCTGCTGTGTCCACCGCGAGAAATCGAACCCCAGCTTTTAGCGATGTAAGTCCGTAAACAGCTGTCCCACCCACCAGGGGACAAAATCATAATTTTTTTTTTAAGTTTGCTCGTAAACTATTAAGGAGACACAAGTTCCCAACATCAACAGAGTAAGAAAATTCACATTTAGGATCTCTAAGATAATGGTTCCAAACTTGGGGAGTGTCCCCCCCTTGGGGTTGCAACAAACACGACAAGGAATCACTCGCCAGGCTTGTACTTGAAGCACTAAAACGGCAATTCCAATGAAACAGGTATATTCACCCGAACACTGTATTTTATATACAGTAGATACGGGGGGGGGGGCAAATTGTTTATTATGTGCATAAGGGGGACTTCAGACAAAAACGGTCGTGAACCACAGCTCTAAGAAGCCGCGACCAACATCTTCTAGATTTAAATATCCATGAAGTTAATTCCTTTAGAACACGCCAGAGTAATGACCAAAATATATTACCACATATATATATAATACCTAGAACTTAACAAGTTTCACAACAGTCAAGTTATTCCATCATTCACGCTTCATAAAAAAAAGAACAACATTCAGCCACAACCGTTAGGAAGTTGCAAGGTCACAACCCAATATCTGTTTAAACAATGTAAACAGCTTTCATTCCGAAGAACACTTTTGTAAAACAATTTTTTTTTAGCTTGGTGAAAAATAACACTGTAATAACTATTGCTAAACTCAAATTTTTCTGAGCTGGGATTTACCACCAGTAGACTACACGATCGATTGGTAAAGTGATGAAAAAGGGAACTTACTTTTTAACTTGGTTCGAGCCTTGTTGGCCATTTTCTTGATGTCAGCCATTAAATCTTCCAGCTCCTGCTTCACTTCTTTAAAAAAATATAAGGTTTTATCACAAGTTTGTTTTTTTAACAGATTGGTTCCATTTCTCCTGACACATAAACCGTATAAAGTGAGAATACTCTTTTCAAAAGAACTGACTTTTTATTACTGCTATAATATACACGACACTCTTAAATGAACGTTATACATTCTCTAGAGATTATTCAACGTTACGACAGTTAATAATATTATTTGATTCACGTACATTATCTGAAGAGAGAGCGAAATAAAAACATTAAAAGTTGTCATCGCTTCTGTTGTGAAATAAACATTATTTACATATACGGTTGTAACCGTTAAAACCTGTGTACTTGAGAATGATCGAATCAGTGTTCGAAACGTCGTGCCTGTTCTACAAAATAATCTTCATTATTGTAAAAGCTATACCTTGCAATAAAATAATACTTAATCAGTAAGTAAACTCAAAACGAAACTATTAATGTAGTAGTTTCCCATCTCCTCCCTAACAAGTAGACTGTCAAAAAGGGCACATACTTATATAAACAAATTGTAGAAAAGGACCGCAAGACGTGGAACAATATTGGAAAAAGATGAAACACGCGTTTATAACAAAAATTTATTTTATTTGCTACGTTTCGGACGCATGCCCTTCTAAGCCCGAAGAGGGGCATACGCGCGAAACGTAGCAAATAAAAGAAGTTTTTGTAATAGACGCGTGTTTTAACTATTTCTTGTGTTCTTATATATAAACAATCCCTGATAATCAGTAATAGTACATAATAATATGTTTTACTAATATTTGTTGATTATTCAATAATTACAGAAGTAAAGATTCTGTAAAAACCAAATGTGCATATATTAACTAGATTTAAAAATTCATAAATTACTACTTCTTCCTCGTTTAGATATGTTAAATAATGACTATTACCCGTTTAAGTAAACACACCTCTGGTTGTGACTATTACCCGTTTAAGTAAACACACCTCTGATTGTGACTATCACCCGTTTAAGTAAACACACCTCTGGTTGTGACTATTACCCGTTTAAGTAAACACACCTCTGGTTGTGACTATTACCTGTTTAAGTAAACACACCTCTGATTGTGACTATTACCTGTTTAAGTAAACACACCACTGGTTGTGACCATTACCTGTCTAAGTAAACACACCACTGGTTGTGACTATTACCTGTCTAAGTAAACACACCTCTGATTGTGACCATTACCTGTCTAAGTAAACACACCTCTGATTGTGACTATTACCCGTTTAAGTAAACACACCTCTGATTGTGACCATTACCCGTCTAAGTAAACACACCTCTGATTGTGACCATTACCTGTCTAAGTAAACACACCTCTGATTGTGACCATTACTTGTCTAAGTAAACACACCTCTGATTGTGACCATTACTTGTCTAAGTAAACACACCTCTGGTTGTGACTATTACCTGTTTAAGTAAACACATCTCTGGTTGTGACTATTACCTGTTTAAGTAAACACACCTCTGATTGTGACTATTACCTGTTTAAGCAAACACACCTCTGGTTGTAACCATTACCTGTCTAATTAAACACACCTCTGGTTGTGACCATAACCCGTCTAAGTAAACACACCTCTGGTTGTGACCATTACCTGTCTAAGTAAACACATCTCTGGGTGTGACCATTACCTGTCTAATTAAACACACCTCTGATTGTGAATATTACCTGTCTAATTAAACACACCTCTGGTTGTAACCATTACCTGTCTAATTAAACACACCTTATGACTATTATCTGTCTAATTAAACGCATTTCTGGTTAGAACCTGTAAAACAGATCATGTTTTATCACACGGATGGAAATAATTTAAACATCTTTAATGTATTTCGACGAGCGCTTGGAAAACTTGTGTACACTTACAACAATAGAAATTTAGATTCCACGAATACTAATCAAGAAACTGATTCAAACATTTTCAACAACCATTCCATCTTTTTTTTAATGCAATACTTCTAACAACCAAACAAAACACAGAGATTAATACGCAAATAGCACATTGTCATGATATAAAATACTGTTTGGTTTAAATATTTGTGATTAATTTATATTTGTGAGTGAATATTTTATTCTCTTTAAGTTTTGTTATAATAAGAGTTAAAAGCAGACGATTGTAGAAGGTTTTGTTAATAACTAATTGGTGTCGAGAATATAGAAAGTGGCCAGATGACTATGTAATAAAGATATAAATAGCGTGAGACGAGCGGGAAGCAGCAGACAAACAACAACAGACAAATAATAGCAAAAGAGAATATAGCTGTGTGAAGTTAAGTACCGTAGATGTGATAAGCCTAACGACTGACATAGGCCTAACGTTTAATATGTTAGAATGAAACTGACAGTATAAAAAAAAAGATATGAAGGATAATTTTGTTCCGTCAAAGCGTGGTTCTAAAGTAATTGAATCAGCGTGGGTACACTTTGACAAAAGGAACAGAGAATCTTCAGAAGAAAGAAGACCAAACGAATTACGGTAACTTGCGCTACAACTGTAAGTGAATCACACACAGAATACTAGTACGATAGTAATATACAGAAGATAGTTCGATTTGTCAACTGAAATTCTAAAGTAATTGAACAGGCCTAAGTGGACTTAGTGTTTATGATATGCCTGTAATCTCTATAGTGTGAAGACTTTGTTGTACATACATTTAACTTGTTCCGAATATATTTATATTATTTGAAAACTTTGAAAGTAAAGTGTATGCTGTTTATTCATCGTTGAATTTATCGCTAACAAGTCACAGACACCTACTGTAGAAAAATCCTAAGTCCAACAACAACATAGTATATATTTATACTATTAAGAAATATAAGTAAAAGTCATTTATTTCGACAATTGTCAAAAAAAGAAGAACTTATATATATATATATATAATATAATATATTTTTTTTAAAATCTGACACACATATCTTACTATCCCGTAGCGAATATTTCCTATGTACAAACGTTTTCAAAGTTTTGATTTGAAACATTCAAAATCCGGTTGAGGTCATGGCAGCCTGAGTTGTTACTTTCTCCAGACTGTCCAGTCAAAAGACTTACCCGGTTTTCCAGGTGATAGCTCTATTGTATCATATTCTCCATAGCGACTGTCAGGGCCGGCGACAGATTAAATAGCGCCCTAGACAGGAATTAATGCTACGTCCCCACCTATATTGGAGCCCACGAGAATTGGCGTATTAAGCAACCGTCCACGTTGCTACGCCCTTACTCATACTGGAGCCCACGAGAATTGGCGTATTAAGTAACCGTCCACGTTGCTACGCCCTTACTCATACTGGAGCCCACGAGAATTGGCGTATTAAGCAACCGTCCACGTTGCTACGCCCTTACTCATACTGGAGCCCCCGAGAAGTTGATGTCTTAGAAAACTGTTCATGTTGCTGTGCTCCTACTTACACTGCCCCCATCCCCAAGAATTAGGCGCCCTAGGCAACTACCTATGTTACTACGCTTCTATTCACACTGGAGTCCCCGAGTATTTGGCGCCCTAGGGAGTCGCTTGCATCGCAGACTGTCACATAGTATAGAGACACGTGCGTATTTCAGATTGGTTAGCTACAAGGAAAGATGTATTGTGAATGCCGTTTTGGCGCTTTCGAATCAGATTTGTTGCAACCTTTGACAACCAAGAAATGCTGTAAATGTCTTATCTTTGTTTCACTACGTTCTCCAGTCTGTTGATCGTGTGCCCCAGTGTCCATTTTTGTCCCTTTTGTCTCGTACACAATAGTCCATCATTATTTCGATCAGCTATTCTTCTGGTTTCGTATGATACAACGTATTTTATTTTATTTAGCCTTCAAAGCCGTGTTTTATCTCTTTCGCTTCACCTGTAAAAAAAAACAGAAAACAACAACACCTGTTCATCCACATACTAGAGCCACGAACTTCTAGTTCTTGCCCGTGTGTTAGGTACAACCCAGAGATTAGCACAAGCATAAATCTTTATTGATTAGTTAACGTAAGAAGATCTAGTGAACTGTTTGGTCATCCTGCAATTCCTTTAATGCTCTTGTTTTTGGCTTCGAGACTGAGGCACGAGATGCGTGCTTACTAGTGTGAAATTATAAAGCGAAAAACGCCCGCCGATTTGACAACGTACACGTACAATGCATACGGTTTTATTGTGACGCAAATTAAGACATAGTAACGACTGTTTAAATGTGTTTAATGTGTATATAGATAATACGTAATAATAACAACTTATATTGGCATCCTAAAACTTTCCAATTATGGAAAAATCTTACTAATATTTATGATCACTTTTAACAAAATAACGCTTTTCTTATGAGGTTCTCAAACGTTTTCATCGGCGGACAACTTCAGTGGGGGATAAAAACACCCCCCGCGAACCACCTACCGGTCTTACCCCACTCGCTTTCGCTTGTTTTTGTGGGAAAAACAAGCATTAAAATTTAACCTATCAGTTCACACTAGTTTCTATACAATTTGAAGCTAGAAAAGTATTGCACCAACTGAAGAGGGTTTCTGGCCTGTTCTTTCGTATGGTCTCGAACGTGGCGTTGTGCGTCAGTGATCTGCATTTTGGACCAGCCCTCAGACCACCTGGAGGACCCTCGCGCACCACAGCGGTAAGTCTTCGGATTTACAACGCTAAAATCAGGGTTTCGATCCCCCTCGGTGGCCACAGCAGATAGCCTAATGTGGCTTTGCTATAAGAAAACACACACACACGTATGGTCTCGAACGTAACGTTGCACGTCAGTAACCTGCATTTTGGACCAGCCTTCAGACCACCTGGAGGACCCTCGTGCACCACAAGTGTTTCGTGAACCGCAGTTTGAGAAACGCTGTCTTAAAGCTCGTAAGATTTCTAATACTCACATCAAAATCAGACACTCAATCACGTGGTGACTACAGATGTAAAACGAACTATAAGAAAATTTGGTAGTATTGATTTTTGATAAGATTTATGGATTTGAAGAGATCAAACAGCCTACTACAGTTCTATTTACACTTTGTTTTACCTGTGTGTGGAGATTTAACACTAATGGTATAAAGAACAGTATCATTGGTATGGGGCTGTTGTTGAACACGGATGGTGAACATGTTGTC